AAAGTAATGTATTTGGTAATTTGATGTTTTTAAAAGAAGAGGGAAATTTTGGTGTATTCAAGTTTTTGGGAAGAGAAAGAAGAGGGAAATTTGGTTCTTTGAATTTTTTATAAAAGAAACAAGTGGGAATTTTGGTGGTTTTGATATGTGGGAAGAGAAAGAAGTGGGAAAGTTTGATTCTTTTGATTATGAAAGAGAAATAAGGAGGGAAACTTTTGACTTTTCAACTTTTTGTAGAAAGAAAGAAGAGGGTAATTTGTTTCTTTCAATTTTATGGAAGAGAAAGAGAAGGGAAAATTGAGTTTTTCTAATGTATGGAAGGAGAAAGAAGGAGGGAAATTTTAGTATTTTTGTGAAAAGAAAGAAGGAAACATATTTGGTGTTTTCAATTTTTTGGTTTTTCATAATTTTAGCTTTTGAAATATGAATCTTTAACTTTTATATGGAGGGCATGACTAGTTAAAATTATTCTTATATGCTTTGAAGGCTAATATGTATGTAATTTTTTATGGGCTAATAAATAAATTAACCATTAGTTACAACAATTTATACTAAACTTGATAAGTAATCTTTGACGGTTCGTTGTTTAGGATATAAAGTATATGGTTAGGGTATAAGGTATAACCGTATAAGGTACATATGGTTTAGGGTGTATATGGTTAGGGTATAAGATATTGATGGTTTTGACGGTTCTAAGTTTTTTATTAACATATGTTCACTTGAAGTCATTTGAAGTCTTTAACGGCATGAGATCCCTTTTTAATTTATATTTATGGTACGTGGTTAGGGTACAAGGTATGTGGTGTAAAGCATAGGATATATGGTTAGGGTATAACAATTAGCAAATATCACTTTTTATCTATGTTTTGAAAATCAAAGTATGAATTTCACTTTTAAATTAACTATACTAGCAAAATCACAACTCAAGGACATATGAATAGGGTATAGGTTATGTGGTTAGTGTATAATGTATTGATGGTTTAGGGTATACAATCAACAACATATACTAACTTAATATTGTTGATTGAGGGTAAAGCTAAGTGTATAGGATATATGCTATTGAGTAAGTTATGATTGAAGTCACAATAATTTTACTAAATTTGATAGCTAATCTTTAATGGTTCAATTTTTAGGATAATTCGAACAATTTTACAAATAACTCGTTTGGCAACAGTTTACTAAAGTTATTTGGGCAATGAGTTATTTTGAAATAACTCTTTTTATCACTATGCTTTTGCCAAATACCACACGCCAAATACCAGATTTGCATGGTTATACTAAACGAGATACTTTAATCCAATTACTACTGAATTAATACTAAAATATCAAATAAACAATTAACGGTGTCTTTTGGTTGCAAATATTGATATCACCATTACTATTAGTTATAATACTTTACTAATTATGATTAATTACATAACAAGTTTGCAAGTCATACAAATTGATTTAACATTTTGACCAGTTTTTTTCAGAAAAATAAAGTATATATATACGAGGTAGAAATAAATTGGTTAAAAAGTTGAGAAAATATTTTAAATTAGTGTAATAAAATGTGTAAGTTGGTAATGAGTAATGAGTTAAGTTACTTGATGCGCTGGCCCGAACAACCCGAAACCCGACCCGCCCGCAACCCGCCCGACCCAAAACTCGATGAACCCGCAACCCGATTTGCCCGCAACCCGATTGAATCCGAACCCGATGAACCCGCGACCCGACTAACCCGCAACCCGTTTGAACCCGAACCCGATGAACCCACAACCCAACTAACCCGCAACCCGATTGAACCCAGCCCGAACCCGCCCGATTGACACCTATACATACACGTACACCGCGAAAATTGTTTCTTTTTTTTTTTTTTGGTTCGAAAATGTATATCTTCACACAGTTCTAGAGTTGTTTTAAACAGGTTTATCGATGCCATTTGTCAACTTTTTTTCACGCAATCTTATAGATTGCGCATGAAAATATAGGTTGTGTGCGTGAATAATTGGTTGAGGTGTGTCAAGTTTTAGGTTTGTTTTGTCATGAATGGTGGGAGAAGAGTCCTCTTCTCAAAACGATATATGAACCATGAAAATTATTTACATTAGTTTTCTAGTATTTTAAATTGAAAATAATTAATTGATTAATATATAAAAGTCTAATATATGAGTTATTATTTATTAGTGGCTCTCAAACTTCTCCAAGTGTAAGTGGGAAAGTTTCAAATCCTTCTTTTACCATGCTCTCTTATTCTATAACCTATGTGTTTATCAATTGTTTGTTGGGTCTACATCTATTGCTCATCATGTTTCCCATAATAGTTATTAATTGTCTATTAAATTTTCACCTATTCTTCATTGCTTCCCCTATTGCAACAATTAGCCATCTCGAAATACTATTGACAAAATCATAAGTTGTCATCTTCCAGCGTTTGCCACCGAAGATCCATACTTTATCTATTACACACAATCCTCTCCAAACACTTTTCATGAAATCCTAAGTTGTGCACATCCACCTTATCTATTATACATAATACTCTCCAAAGACTTTTGGCCGAATCCTAAGTTTCACCCATCCACCGTGTCCCAAGACAGCTATTGAAAATTCATACCAAATCTGCTTTGTTTTGTTGAATTTTGTATCGAAACTAAGTTTCATATTCTTTAGTATTTTCTTATCTCTTTTTTCCTTTTGGTTAAGCATGATAATTGAACTTAAACTCATGGGTATCCAAAATAATTCGTCCAGGTCAAAACGACTTTGAACCCGATTTTAGTATTTTTTTAATTTCTATTTTTTCTTTCCTTAAGAATGATAATTGAACCCAAACCCATGGTATTGACGAGTTTTGTATCGAGAGTGAGTTTATATGGTTTTGTAGTTGGTAGGTTGGATCGAGTGTAAATTTGTTAAAAACTCGATTCGACACGGTCAAAACGAGCTGAACACGGTGTTGACGAGTTTTGATCGAGAGCGAGTTTTATCTGCTTTAATATTTTTTATTTTTCCTTTTCCTTTTGGTTGAGAATGACAATTGAACCGAAAACGGTGCTTATGAGTTTTGTATAGAGAGCGAGTTTTAAATGATTTTATAACAGACATGTCGAGTCGAGTGTGAATTGTTACAAACTTGGTTCGAACCAATCAATGCGAGTTCAACTCGGTGTGTAGATTTTTTGGTAGGGAGCGAGGTTATCCACTTTAATGCTTATTTATTTATCCTTTTCCGTTTGGTTGGGAACCCCAACCTATGGGTATCCTAGCTAATTCAACCTGATAAAACAACTTGAACCCAGCGTTTACAAGTTTTCTGTTGTGAGTGAGTTTTATTTGCTTTTGTGATTGGCGTGGGGTCGGGTCGGTTGTAAATTTGTTACAAACTTGGTTCGACCTAATCAAAGAGAGTTGAAAATGATATTGCCCAATTTTGGATCGTGAGCGAGTTTTATCCGCTTTAGTGTCTGTTAATTTCTCAATTTTTATTGAGAATGAAATTGAACCCAAACCAAATAAATAAAAAATTACAAACTAGAGAGAAGATTGAAGATAGAAATTATTTGCTCGATAATCCTTCTCCCTTATTAAAATCCATCATTTCCTCCACTGCATAGAGTTGTAGATGACAAGTTCTTTAATTTTGGGTCAAAATTCAAACTACCAATCTTCAAAATATCATGTTCTCGCTAACCGCAAAGCGATATCGAGCAGGCTTATGCTAGCTTTATGAATGTTGTGACCCCTACGGACACTTTGTTAATATTGGGGGTCCTTTTGTATTTTGGCTTTCTCCATGTAAGGTGTAACGGGCAAAGCTAGCTGCGGCTGAAACCTAACTAGAAGAAGACAAATAATAAAACTATCTCTAAGAGCTTGAAGCTCTCCGTGGACTAATATAGTTTACCTCAAACGGGTAAACCACTACGTGATCTCATTTTTTTCTTTCCGCCTTGTTATTCGAATTTTACAATGGATACATACATTCGATTTAATGATCATTATGTGACAAAACTACGAGTAAAAAGAAAATGTATCCAAAAGTACGGACGTACCTTATAGTCGTTTCTTGCCGGGTCGAAACCAAGCCCAATACGGCTAGACGGGTCGTCGAGATTGAGGTAGCCATGGGGATCCCGCGCTGGATGATCAGAATCGTCCGGCGGAGAGGGCACCAGTTTTGTCTCCCAAGTCGTCGGATTCCACAGAATAATTCCGTCCGGGCCGTATCTGCGGGCGAGGCAAAAGATCCCGCCGGAGCAAGCGGCAATTCTGTGCAAGTTATCCGCGCTGGGGAGATGAGTGCCGGAGGAGACGATTCGGAAGGTGTTGTAGGAGTGGATGGAGTACTTGATCAGCCACCGGTCCAACCAGTCGTCGGAGGAGCGAGCGACCATAATCTTCGCCAGCGGGTCGTGGTAGAAGGCGACGTACTTGGCGACGATTTTGGGGTCGGAGAGGAGGCGGCAGCACGATTTGCTCAAGCAGCGGAATCGGGTCAGTGAGGCACCGGTCCGCAGCTTGGTCAGGATTTGTAGGGTCAGTTCCTCCGGCAACCACCCGCCGGCTGGTGGTTCGTCGGGGCGGCTTCGTTTCCCTCCGCCGTCGGAAGACATCGTGCACCGCACGTCAGATCGATGGCGGTTGGATGAGCTAGGTTTGTGTAACTTAAGTAATCAGCAATCGCTTTCTAATCGTTAGGTTTAAATTTTGGTTCCTGATTAGGATTCCATTAGCCAAGCGGAATCTGCGAGGGGAGAGAACTTTTGGGCTCAAACTTTGGATTATTAATGGGCTGGTCCGTCCGTCCGTCGAGTTTGGTGATTTATTTATAACTTGAATCGGCTGGAACCGGAAGACAACGATGAAAGACCTATGCTCTAGTGCCTGCACCAAGTTCATTTTTGCATTTTGAGTACATTATGCCTATAATGAGTTTGGTTAAACTTCAAGCAAGAGTTATTTGGAATTCCGGCGACTGCGAGTGAAGTTAGTCAATTTTGAACAACTAATTTAATGAGAATATGCGATATCTTCTTTTAATACAAGATATGAGATATGCTTTGTGCGAGCTATAACAGTCGCTCACGTCATAAACCAGATTGACTGGTTTCAATTTAAGATTTCTACATTAATTAGCAAGAAGCTGTATTTATGTTTGTTTATAGATTTTTTTTTTTGCATTATAGGGAGGCTAAAAGCCAAGAAAAAGAAAATTACATGGAGGTGGGAAGAGGGGAAGAAGAAGTAGCAACCACCCTACGGGTACTGGTAATGCCCATCATGTCGTCTCTGATCAGCGAGTTAATTCCTGGAGGCGGGCTCGTTAACTCATGCATACCGTAGGGATAGACGAGACTGTGCTTCGAGAGCCAGTCCGCGACTCTATTCCCTTCCCGGTAAGTATGCGTTAGGCGAACCAGCCAGTCACGATTGAGCTTCCTGCGAATGGCGGAGAGGAGAGTAGCATACGGGTGAATCGGGTCATGTCTAGCCTCAATGAGCTGCAGCGCCAGCTGTGAGTCCGTCTGAATCTGAATAGCTCTTCCTCCGTGCTTCCAAGCGATATCAAGTCCGAAGGATATCCCCCAAAGCTCCGAGAGAATGGCCGTAGCAGTGCCGAGGTTGGCGACAAAGCCTGCAACCCAGTGTCCCATCTGGTCTCTTAAAACACCCCCAGCCCCTGCTGGCCCAGGATTGCCGTTGGAGGCTCCATCAGTATTCAGCATGATCCATCCCTCTGTCGGTGGCTTCCAACCCACCTCCTTCTCTACTCTGTCAGCTGGTCGATTCCCTTTGCAGGGAAGGAGGGGAGGGGCGAGCCAAGCATTGTGCCACATCTTTGTCTTTGCCAAAATCGAGTGCTCCAGAGAGGGCGGGGTGAGAGCGGCTCCAGAACCCTGCATACAGAGAACACAACGGTTTTTCCAAATAAGCCAGAGCGCCGTACTAAAGAAAGCAGGCCAAGTCATCCCTGTCGCCACCGTATCCGTCCTCAGGAGATTGCTACTCAGCCAATCTCCCTGATCGAGAGTGAAGAAATCCTGCTGATGCAAGCCCGCGGTCTGCCGGAGCCAGAAGAAGGTAGCTGGGGGACAATCTCTGAGAGTGTGCAGAATCGTCTCTGGTGACCCCGGGCACCTCGGACAGCAAGGGCTCGCCGCTACTTTCCTGTGAAAACGCAGACTGTTAGTGGCAATTTTCCCGGTGCACGTTTGCCACATGAAGACTCGGACCCTCTCCGGCACTGGAAGGCGCCAGATCGTCCTCCACAGCTTCTCGTCCGGGTCTTGCGGCTGCGGAGTGATGAGGTTGAAGGCCGACTTGGTTGAGAATTTCCCGTCTGGGGAGGCAGTCCAGAAGAGAGTATCCTCCTCACTGGAAAGAGTGTCAACCGCCACACTGAGAATCTTCTGGCAAATCTCGGTTGGCAGAAGGGCCTCAAACATGTCGGTGCGCCACGTTCCATCAGCTGTCACATAATCAGCCACTGTCATTTGCTCCACATCCTCAGCTATATGCATAGTGGCCACCTCCTTCAGGCTCCCCTGCAAAACCCAAGGATCCAACCAAAACTTAGTGCGCTTACCATTCTTAATGTTCCAAGCACACCCCTGCTTTAACACATCAACAGCTTTAGAAAAACTTTTCCAGGTAAAGGAACTTCCCTGAGAATTGCCAAGAATATCAAGGTTCTCCCTCTGACGCCCATACTTGGCGTGCATGATCTGAGACCAGAGAGTCTCCTTCTCTTTGATGAGCCGCCATCCCCCTTTAGCCAACATGGCCAGGTTGGCCTGTCTGGTAGGGCGGATGCCCACACCGCCATGCTTCTTTGGCACTGTCATTTTATCCCAAGCCACCAGGTGCATCTTGTTCTTATTCTCCTCCTCCGCCCAGACAAAATCCCTGTTCATCTTATCGATACTGTGACACACCCCACACCGCCATGTTTGTTTATAGATGAGCAATAAAGGGAGGATTTAACATTAAATAACCATCGTTATAAACATATCTTATGTTTGGCTTGGTTTTTAAAATTATTTTTCGGTTTCAAGAGGTGAAATAGAGCCAAACACCTCTAAAATCTCGGCTTTTAAAAAGCTGAAAAGTGCTTTTGTATAATATAAAAGCAGAATCTCATATTGAAATTTCTGCGTAAACCTGTTTTGAGAATACAAGATTATCGTTATAATATTTTAATTAATTTTATTTTAGAAAATATAATTTTCTTTTTTAAATCAATTTAAAAATTATAAAATTCATACTATTTAATGTAAAAGAAATCTAACAATGTCCATTTTGACTACTTTTTATTCTTTATAATTTTTATTTATATTTTATATTATGAATCCCTTAGACACTTTACGTAACTTCTTATATTTAAAAACACTTCTAATATTTTTTCAACCAAACACTCTACTAGTTTTTTTCCCTTCTACGATTAACCTGGAATTGGCTCTCCTTTGATTGTTGCTCCAAATTAATTACATTAAATACTCCAAGTAACTCTTATGTAAAATTTAATCGAATTCATCACCACAAAGTCCTATTTAGACTTCACTCCCAAGGTTGGTTTATTGTAATGCGGGGAAACTATCAGTTGTATAACCGAAGATGAAAAATTATATAACAACCTCAAATTATGTTTTAACATAGTGTATTTCATACCTTTTCTAACTTGGATTTTAATGTTTTTTTCACACAAAAATTTGACGTTATGTATAATACAACATGACATGCATTTTAATATATTTTAAAATAAAAAATTTCATTCTATGCATTTTAACATATTTCGGGGCTAAGATCAGGTGACTAGGGGGTCCCTCAGTCACATGACTAAGCCAATCTCAGCCATTGAAACTCATTGAAATTTAATGGTTTAGATTTATATAGTTTAATGAAGGGTAAGGTGGTAATTGCTTATTTTATTTATTTAACAATTAAAATAAATAATAAATAAAAAGAGCGTTGCCCCTTCGCCCTCTCCGATCGCGGCCGCCGGTCCTGGGAATTTCTCCCGACGACGAGAAAATTGTGCCTGCCACCGGTCCTGGAAATGTCGCCCCTTCGCCCTCTACGATCGCGGCAGCCGGTCCTGGGAATTTCTCTCGGCGGTGGTATTTTGTACCTGCTACCGGTCCTGGAAATTTTCCCAGGCAGTGCGATTATTTTGTGTCCCAAGTACCATTTCTAGAGAGAGAGATATTTTTTTCCTGACAGGAGGAAACTTTTACGGCGACCATCAACGACGGAGAAGGATTTCCCCGCGATAGTGCTAGATTTGTGATGTTTGTTGACATATTTTGTAATGTTTGTATCGATTCCGTTTGTGTTGTTTATCATTCTTCTTTGTCATTTTTAGTGACATTTTGTACGGTTAGTATGCTTTGTACTGTTTGTCGGTTTATTTTGTAATGTTTGTAAGCTTTTTTTTTCTTTTTTGTAAGGTTTGTATTGTTTGTCGGTCTAGTTTTTATTATTTGTACAGTTCATACGTCTGTAATGTGTGTAAATCTGTTTGTATGTTTTGTGGTTGTAGTTTGTACTGTTCGTATGTTTGTATGGTTTGTACTGATTGTAAGTCCGGTTTGTATGCTTCGTAATTTTCCATAATACCCAAAATACCTCTGTCATTAATTAAATAGCCCTTCCCACTTTTTAACCATCAGATTGCTATGTCCAGATTTAAGGATTGTGAGGGACTTAATCAAGTGACTAAGCACCCCCTAGTCACAGGATCCGGACTCTTTCGCTCAATATAATTAAGAACCATATAGTTAACATTTGAGAATAAAATAGCCAATGATCAAAAATAATTTACAAATTATCACTAGATTTTTGTATTAGCATTTTATTTCATCAAATACAATCTCAACTTAGCAATATCATTTTAGCAGTTTGAACTTCAAACCTATATAGACTACGAATGAGGCTTAGGATAGGGTGAGTAACCCTTTGTTACTCACCCGTGAGTAACCACCTAGGAACCGTTGATCTGGGGCGGACGGATCGTGTGGTTGTCATTGAAGCGGGATGGTCAGGGGCATTTTTGTCCGTTATTTGAATTAATGAGTTTCCCCTTTTGTCCGTTGCGAATCTTTCTGTGCGCGAGTTGGATTCGGATTTTGGAGAGAGAAACTACGAGCAGAGGAGCAGCAGCTGAGAAACAAGGACGTCGATTCTCCATGGTTGATCGACGGCGATAGAAACTGCGAGCAGCAGCTTCGAATCGAGCTTTCTGATTCTCCATAATTGATCGACGTGTGCGCGAGTTGGATTCGGATTTTGGAGAGAGAAACTGCGAGCAGGGGAGCAGCAGCTGAGAAACAAGGACGGCGATTCTCCATGGTTGATCGACGGCGATAGAAACTGTGAGCAGTAGCTTCGAATCGAGCTTTCTGATTCTCCATAATTGATCGACGTGTGCGCGAGTTGGATTCGGTTTTTGTAGAGAGAAACTGCGAGCAGCCGCTGCGAAACAGGGGACGGCGAATCTTTTCTGATTCTCCATAATTGATCGACGACGAGGTTAGATATTAGTTTTTTTGATTCTTCCTGTTTAGCTAATCGAGTTTTCTGTTGATCTCTGGTTTCGTTGGAGGTTTTTCATTGCTGCTAGTCGAGCTTGTTTATGTTGAGCTAATCGAGCTTGTTCATGTGTTATGTTCTTTGTGTTTTTGTGTTTTTGCAGTATTCTGGTGAGATGAGTTACGTAAATTGTGGCGATGTTGTTCCAATTGATAGATCTGGTTCTTCAACCAGCGTTGTAGGATCTGGTTCTTCATCTAGTGCTGTTGGAATTGCTTCTTCATCTATCGATCTTGGATTTGATCATTCAGCTAACTCTGGTGAATCAGGAGGTAAGATATACAAATTTGTTTGTTTATTGAAGTTTGTATAGTGTCGTAATTTGATTTTACCATGCCTTATCATGTGGTAATTGATTTTACATTACATTACCATGTGGTAAACTGTGGTAATTAGGAAGTTAAATGTGATGGTTCTGTGTGATAATTGATTTTACCATGTCATACCATATGGTATAGTGTGGTAATTTGATTTTACCATGCCTTATCATGTGGTAATTGATTTTACAGTACATTACCATGTGGTAAAATGTGGTAATTAGGAAGTTAAATGTGAGGATTCTGTGTGATAATTGATTTTACCATGCCATACCATATGGTATAGTGTGGTAGTTTGATTTTACCATGCCATACCATATGGTATAGTGTGGTAATTTGATTTTACCGTGCCTTATCATGTGGTAATTGATTTTACAGTACATTACCATGTGGTAAAATGTGGTAATTAGGAAGTTAAATGTGAGGGTTATGTGTGATAATTGATTTTACCATGCCATACCATATGGTATAGTGTGGTAGTTTGATTTTACCATGCCATACCATATGGTATAGTGTGGTAATTTGATTTTACCTTGCCATACCATGTGGTATAGTGTTGTAGTTTGATTTTACCATGCCATACCATATGGTATAGTGTGGTAATTTGATTTTACCATGCAATACCATGGTGGTAACTCTTGTATCATGGCTGTAATTATTGGTATACATTGAGATTTCATACTGTTGTGGTGTGGAATCCATTTAATATGTTGTTTCATAATGTTTGTAGGTTTCAATGGTATAGATCCTACTGTTCGTGATTCTTGGAAGGACTTAGAGTTCAATACACCAGATGATGCATATAATTTTTATGTTGATTATGGGAATCATGAAGGTTTTGGTGTGAGGATTTATAACCAATCAGCGTGTCCGAAGCTCAATGGTGGTTCTTCAGCTGTATATTATATCAAGTATTGTTGCAATAAGGAAGGTTGGAAAAGAGGTAGCGAGAATAACCCTGATAATGCAGGTGTTGTTGATACGACAGTTCGTGTTCGTAATGTTCCAGAACTCAGCGGTGTATGTAATGGTGCTTATATACGACTGAGGTGGTTTAAAGAGTTTAAATGCTACAAGATCTATCGTTGGTATAATGTGCACAACCATGACATGATTCCTGAGTCTCTGCGTCACTATGTGAGATCCAGCAGACGAATGGCTCGTGTGTATAAGATGTTGGCAGAGGTGAATGATGCTGCTGGTATTGGTGTGACTTCTTCGTATAATGCAATTAGTAGGGCTGGTGGTGGTCGGAAGTTTGTTGGGTTCACAAAGAATGATTTGAAGAACCATCTGCGAACGGTTAGGACGTTATCAATGGAGTATGGTGATGCGACTGCATTGCTTGAATACTTTAGACGTCAAGCACAGCTGGATCCTGGGTTCTTTCATGAGGTGGAGGTTGATGTTGAAGAGAACATTGCTAGTATTTTTTGGGCAGATGGGAAGATGAGGATGGATTATCATTATTTTGGTGATTCAATTAGTTTTGATACTACTTACCGGACTAACAAAGAGTATCGGCCACTAGGTATGTTTTCTAGTTTGTTGTTTATTATTGTCTTTGTTAGTTTGTATGATTATTATTATTATCATTATGTATCATGTTTTTTTTTTTGTTCTTACAAGTCTGTACCATATGGTATGGGTTGGTATGGATTGCTTTTTTGTTCTTAAAAGTATTTTACCATATGGTATGTGTTGGTAACAAGGTTATTTGAGGTGGTTTTTGGGTTGTTAGAAGTTTGTACTATATGGTATGGGCTGGTATGCATTGTGTTTTTGTTCTTAAAAGTCTTTTACCATATGGTATGGGTTGGTAACAAGGTTATTTGTGGTGGTTTTTGCGTTGTTAGAAGTGTGTACTATATGGTAGTCTGGTATGGATTGTTTTTTTTGTTCTTAGAAGTCTTTACCACATGGTATGAGTCTTTACCATATGGTATGGGTTGGTATTATTGTTATTCGTACCTTTTACCACATGGTATGTGTTGGTAGAATTGTTTTTACTCACATTTTGTTATGTTTTTGTAGCTTTGTTTGTTGGTTTCAACAATCATCACCAACTGACTGTCTTTGCGGCTGCTCTTCTATATGATGAAACAACGACAACATTTGAATGGCTTTTCGATCAGTTTTTGAAATGCATGGAAGGTGTGAGACCGTTATCAATGTTTACTGACCA